GGGGGGGGGGGGGGGGTGGTCTTTCCTATTTTCGTTTTGCTTTTTGGTTATACTTTTATGACCCACATCAAACATCCAAAAAAGCCTTTAACGGTTTTGGATTTTGTGTTTATTTTGTCTCTGACTTTGTCGTCATTTTTGACTGGTGGCACAGAGAGAGAGAGAGAGAGAGAAATCTGTGATGTAAACTGCAAAGAGTAGAAGATAATTTGCAAGATTTAAAATTGTAATAGTTTGCGGTTTACCGAAAAATATGGTCATTCACAGATTACAAGGAAGAAACCAGATTCATTTAGGCAATTGAAAATTAGGGTAATTTGGAAAGTGGTATAAAAATTTAAATTTATTTGAACTAAACTAACTTATTTCGCCCTAAGTATATTTTTTAAAAAAAAATTAAAAGGGTATTTACTACTCTATTACTATCTCTCTTTTTCCCTCTCTCCATTACTCTTTCACTCTCTCTTCCCTATTTTCTCTCTATATATTTCTCTTTCTTTTTTTCTCTCATATTGATAATTTTTTTAAATATGTAGAAATTTGATTTAATTTTTTTATCTCTCTCCCCCTTATTTTGTCTCTCTTTTTGTCTCTCACTCCTAGCCTTATTTCCTTATTCTCGCCCTTTTTCTCTCTCTCCTTATATCAACGTTGTAAAAACACAATTACACTAATCAGTTACATCAATTACTTACAATTACCCTAGAGTAACTATTTGGTGTATTACAAGACAATTGCAACTGATTGATATAACTGATTAGTATAATTATATTGTTGTAATATTGATATAAATAGAGAGCGAGAGAGAGAAAATAGGAAGAGAGATGAAAAAATAAATCAAATCTTTATATATTTGAAAAAAAAATTATCAATGATAGATATAGTGAGAAAATAGGGGAGAGATGAGGAAAGTAATGGGGAAAGAGAGAGAGATGGAGGGAAAATAGGGGAGATAGTCTAATGAAATTTTTACATATTTGATTAGATATATAACTGTCAATCAAGAATGTAATATTTAAGGAAATGTATTTAGGTAAAATAGTTTTGATTTCATTTGAATTTTGTACCTAAATACAATATGTTTTATTAAAATTGAACTTAATAGAGTAAACAATTTATTCATACATTCATTCTCAAATAAGTCTAAAAAATTATACTCACAGTCAAAAACCCCTTAAAATTAAGACTTTATTAAATTGAGTTGCCAAGAATCCCGCATAGCACAATAATGAAGACTAAAGTGGGTCTTAACCCACATGCTTGAGGGGACTAAAGTGGGTCTTAACCCATATACTTGAGGGGAGGGGAGGGGAGGGGGGTCTATAACACGAAATTGGGTAGAGTTTTTTCTTGTGAACTATGCACTATGGGCCTATTTGGTTGATGGGTTTGGGCGGGGTTTAGAAGGGTGAGTTTAATTAAATAGTCAAAATTTTCATTTAATCTCATGTTTAGTTAAGATATTTAAATCTGGGATTCGTATTCTAGTCCAACCTAGACAATTAAACCCATTAATATGGATTTCAACAAACCCACGAGGATGGGTTTGAAGTTAGCCAACCTAAGATATAATGGTAAAGAGAATTTTTTTATCCCTAATCTACCCAATTACAAAGGATTGAATAGAGCAATTTAGTCAATTATACAATAAATATTTAGTTATAATTATAATTAATTTGTAGGTCCCATTTATGTATATGCTATTTATCAAACAAAGATATAGACAGAATTTGTCTATAATCCCATGTATACAAAGGTGAAGGCTAGATTGGGTAGAGTTTGGTAAAACTAATCTAATCCCTCTATCCAAACATTATCTTAAAAGAACAATGCAGGGGACCAATTTTACGTCACTGTTGGATCTAACAAATGAGGAAAGAGTTAGGTGTATGTAATTGTCGCAATTACTCACAACCACAATGTCCAAATCAAATTGAAACAAAATAAAATCACGTTCAAGTCCAATTCACACAAGCGACGTTTGTCGTTGGTTGGGCATGGGCTGCGTATATGCAGGCTGTAGCTTCTAACTTGAACCCAAAAAGGGCAAAAAAATAATATTTTAATGTGTATTCCACGTGGGATCCATTTACAAATCTACCAAATGGATCCATCCATCATTTGGTAGATTTTAAAAGTCCATAACATGTGAATGAAGGGGTAGCCCAAAGTACATCTATTCTATGGGCCAACATGGGCCTCTCTGTTGTCCATGATCACGCCCTACTAAAAATTCTACAGATTGTCCCTCCCTATTTTTTTTTAATTAACCAAAAAAAAAAAATTAGAGAAAGGAGTACAAGTAAAGACATATCATCATAACTCTTACCATGACTACGGTGCAATGCGGTGCAAGGCTACGAAATTTGTTCAGAACTGTGAACACCGTCGTCACAGCATCTTAATTACGTTTGACAAAAGCAAAAGATAATGTTATCTTCCTTCGGCCTTCCACATGGTCTCACGTTTGTTGTGGAGCCCACCGCGTGCAAAGCCGTGTTCTTTTTTCGAGCACAAGACACTTCCTAGAATGGAACATGCCTCTCATTCAACTGTCACAGTGATCAGGTTGCCACTAATTCTATCTTAGGATTCTATATTAATAGATAATTATTATCAGATTTGGTGAATTAATTTACACAACTAATTAAATAGACTGAATGACTTATATTCGCATTGAAATCGTACAAGAGTTTGTATTATTGATAATCAAAGGATTACGTATGGACCTAGTACGAATCCTTGTACCGCGTGATGTTGAAAAATATAGCCAACGTTACTTACTGCTAGTGCTAGCTGCATATGAGCCCATCCCTACCTCCAAATCCACGTTGCCAACTGTAATGTAGCTGTCAAAGAACCTTATTCTCATAGCTGTCTCTCGTCAAAACGCAGGCACTTCATATGACTTATTGGTAACATAATATCCAGATTTAACGTATGGCCATCATTAAATTTATAATAACGGGGTTTTTTATTTTTTTTTTGAAAAGTATAGTAAAATGTATATTTAATATTAAAATTTATCCATAATCTAATAATTATAATTATTATATCTCAAAATTATATTTCAATACTTTCTTGTTTTGTCCGGATAAAGTTGGAACCCTCGATTTTAATGTTTAACCGTGGAAACGGTGGTTAATGTGCCAACCTCAGACCTCATGTGCCAACTTTGAGTTTGCTTTTTTCTCATGGTAAAGCAGAACACGGCCTCACTGAGCTTTCACACTTCACAGTGATCACCTTTCTTAATCACAACACAACCCATTTGACAAGCAAACCAAACCCCAACACAACCCCCAAAAGAGTCCCATTCATACCCCACTATCTCCCCTTCTCGCTTTTTAGAAAGCAGAACAGAGCATTTCCACAGACAGAGCGAGAGACAGAGGACATAAGTGATCTTGGTTTGGTTTTGGAGAGATAGTGATTGAAAAACCAAACCAGAGAGAACTGACAATTCGAAGCAACAATGCACGCAAAGACAGATTCAGAGGTGACAAGCCTCGCGGCGTCGTCCCCGGACCACACCAGACGTCCAGTGTACTACGTGCAGAGCCCATCGCGTGACTCGCACGATGGAGAGAAGACCACCACTTCGTTTCACTCCACGCCGGTGATCAGCCCAATGGGTTCGCCGCCGCACTCTCACTCCTCCGTGGGCCGTCACTCCCGCGAGTCTTCCTCTAGCCGGTTTTCTGGGTCCCTCAAACCCGGATCTCGCAAAATCTCCCCAAACGACGGAGGATCTGGTGGAAGACACCACCGCAAAGGCCAAAAGAATTGGAAGGAATGCGATGTGATTGAAGAAGAAGGACTTCTTGAAGATGAAGAGTCCCACAAAACCCTCCCTCGTCGTTGCTATTTTCTTGCATTTGTTTTGGGTTTCTTTGTTCTCTTCTCTCTATTCTCTTTGATCTTGTGGGGTGCTAGTAAACCCCACAAGCCCAAGATCACCATGAGGGTTAGTCCAATTCACTTTGTTGTTCCCCATAATTTCAATTTAGAAATCATTTCTTCTTTATATTTGATGTGAATTCTGAAAAGGGTCTGTTGAATTGTATGTGCAGAATATCACATTTGAGAGGTTTGTGATTCAAGCTGGTTCGGACAATTCTGGTGTGGCCACTGATATGATCTCCATCAACTCCACCGTCAAGCTCACTTTCAGAAATACAGCCACATTTTTTGGCGTCCATGTGTCATCAACACCTCTAGATCTCTCATACTCTGACCTCACAATTGCCTCTGGAACAGTAAGCCTTAGAAAAACTATTCAAAAACTTATTGCTAATCTTTGAATACTGTTAATTTTGTGAAATTGGTTGTTGTAGTTGAAGAAGTTCTATCAATCAAGGAAGAGTCAGAGATTGGTTGCTATGTCAGTGATTGGGAATAAGATTCCTTTATATGGAGGTGGGTCGAGTTTGAGCACTTCAACTGGGACTACTACTAAGCCAGTGCCTCTGAAGATGAACTTCGTGGTTCGATCGAGAGCTTATGTTTTGGGTAAAGTGGTGAAGCCTAAATTCTACAAGAAAATTGAGTGTTCTGTAACTTTTGATCCGAAAAAACTGAACGTCCCCATCTCTCTAAAGAATGCGTGTACATATGATTAATGACAGAGTGGGATTTGTTGCTTGTAGTCAATCAAAGTATCAAAGAGACAAAGAAAGAGAGAAACGGTGATGGAGAAATAAAGAGAAAACAGCTAAGCAGGCTTTTGAGTTGGCTGGGAATGGGCTGGGGTTGGAAGACGCGGTTCTGGAACTTTTTTTGGTTTACCCCATTGCCTGGAGTGTATGGAGAACAGGTTGGATTGGGCGGTGCGGGTCATAATCCAGTTTCTCATTTATTATTTTTTTTTTTGGCAGGGATAAATTATTATTATTATTATTCAAAGAATGTGACTTATATAGTATATTTCTTTGTTGAATTTGCGTAGCTGTATGTAATAATTTATATTTAACAGGCATTGTGATTTAATTTCTTGGGTAATAATTTACATAGTCTCTGTTCTCGGCTTTTGGTTGACAAAGTTTGGATTTTCTGGGAGGAAAACCAGTATGTTATTCATTACTGATAAATCAATACGTAAATAAGTAGTTTATCTTTAATTTAGAAACTACAATAAGTACTTAAGAAAATAGCTACAATGCGTAAAGAAGTGAGGTTCATTTTTTTTTTTATTTGTAAGTTTTTTTCTTTTTGATGATATTACGTGGCAATAGGAGCATAATGTTACTATTATACCAAATATTTACTCTGACCGATGACTTTTGCTTCATGGCAAGAGTTTGTGGATGTAAAATTGAAAAATAATATTATTAAACCTTGGTTGGGTCGTTCAAGTAATAATAGAGACAAATTATAAATTTAGACGTCATGAATTCGAATTTTGGTAATCTATTAGGGTCAGTCAATGAAGGATTTATCCCTCATAAATACCTTAATTTCGGAATAGATGATTTGCCTATTAATGAAAGAATTAGTTGAGGTGTGTGTAAGTTTGCCTAAATATCTTTGATTGATAAACTAACAAAAAAGAATCATAATATTACTGGATCTTACAAAATTGACTTAATTCGTTGACTTAATAATAAGGGTCTTCACCCTACCCTACGAGTAAGAAATATGGTCTTTCGTCTTTTTATTCGATATTTTACATAAGAATTTTTTCTTAGACTACTCTCCCCGATCAAGCGTGGTATTCTTATTCAACTTCTGACCAAATAATGAATTTGAACACCCCTACTTCATAATGTTACAATGATGTGATCTAATAATATTATTTCCACAATAACTCTAAAAAAATTTCATTGGAGCTCTCTTAGTTGATAAAAGTCATAAAACGAAATTTTATATTTCGTGACAGGACATTGGGCAAAAACAATGGATCGAGTCAAGTGTAAGTCCATTGGGCTGAGATGGGCTGGAAGTGAAGTCCGCTCTGCCCTCCTAATAAGTGGCTTGATAGACTGGCTACGGTCCAATGTCAGACGGCCCAGACCCTTTTGTGAATGTGTGGTACAAGTTCCAAACCAATGGTATTCAATTGTCAATTCACACGTCCACGCATTTTATAGACTGGCATTCTCTTCATTATTTTTTTTTAACATAATTTTATTCAATGTTAAATTATTTATTATATATTTAAATGGGATCTGTTACTTATACATGGACCTTTCACTAATACACAGTTGATAATTTATTATTAAATAAAAGAATTAATTATACTGGAGGTTCCAAAGTATGTTGTTTGTTTCATTTTGATTCTCAATATTCTAATTGGATCATTTTAGTTTCTGAAGTATTGAATATGTTTCTATATGGTCTCTCAAGCTGTGTTCAGATTGCTAATGATTTTTTTATCATAAATTTGTCATGCGATACTTAAATATAGATAACAAAATAATTTGAATAATTTTGACCAAATTTTTATCCAAATTACACAATTTTGATTGCGAGCTATCTAAATTTTGATTAAAAGTTATCCAAATTTTATTAAAAAGTTATCAAAATTATTTTTTTGTTCATATTTAGGTATTACATGATTAATTTATGATAAAAAATTATTAACAATTTGGACGTTGTTTACTTAAAGAACCATCTAAAAACATATTCAACACTTCATAGATCAAAATATGACAAACTTTATACTTTGGGGACCTCCAATATATTTAATCTTTAATAAAATTGAGTAAAAGTAAAATAGATAGAATATAAATTCGCATTTCACTAGTCAAATGATTCATGTATAATTTTGAAGAATTAAAATGTATAATTTCTTTGGGGAAAAAAAGAACAAAAAAATAATAAAAATAATGTTTATTAAGTTCAGGTACAGACAATAACTGTGGGGTGACATTTATTAAGTTTAGAATAATTTCATCAAAAATTATATAATTTATTAGAATTTAATAAAATTTAGTAAAATAATTCATATTATATAAAATAATTAGTTATTGTCTTTACCTGAAAGCACAAAACAATAAAAAATGATAAACAATAAACATATTTGTATTCATATCTAAAATTAAATCACAAATATAAAGAAGAGATAAAAGAATTTAACTATCAGTTTGTAATGAGGGTGAGAGGTGGTGGATGACAATAGTGGTAATAGGAGACGATGATGGTTGTGATGAGTTATAATGACTATGGTGGTGATGGGCGTGACTGCGATGGCGATGGTGATGGTGGTGGTGGTGGCGGCGACAATGACGATGGTGGTGGGTAGTGATGGTGCCAGCAGTGGTGACGGTGATAGTGGTGGTGGCGGTGGTAGTGATGGCGGTTGTGGGGGTGGAGGCGGTGGGGCAGTTATGGGGGTGGAGGGTTGTGGTAGGGGTGGTGGCGACCACGGTAGTGGGAGTGGTGGTGATGGTGATGATGGTGGTGGTGATAGTGATGGTGGTGACGGTGGTAGTGGCGACAACGGTGGCGGTGATGGTGGTGGTAGAGGTAGTGGTGGGACGGTTTCAAATATTATTTTTTTTAAGTATTTATGAGAAATAATTTTTAAAAGTATTTTTAAAAAATTACTTCAAACACACCCTTATGAGTCTATTTTTCTATTAAATTTAAGGTATTAATATTAGCCGTTAAATTAATTTTAAAATAAAATTTAAAGCGATCTCAACTACGAATAACAAAAATCATTTTATTTATCTTTTCAGATTTGAATTGTAAGTTACTTTATCATATACTAGTTATTGTTTGTGCCTGAAGACACATAATAATAAAAAATGATAAACAATAAACATATTTGTATTCATATCCAAAATCAAATCAAAAACACAAAAAAGAGATAAATAAATTTATGCATCGGTTTGTAGTGGGGGTGAGAGGTGGTGCGCGACAGTAATAATGGTAGGAGACGATGATGATTGTGGATGGATGACAATGACTGTGGTGGCGATGGTGGTGATGAGGTCGACAAAGATGGTAGTGGTGGTAGCGACAACGACGGTGGTGGTGACAATGGTAGTGGGGGGGTGATGATGAGTGTGGCGGTGGCGTTGGCGGTGGTGACGATGGTGGTGGCAATGGCGGTAGGGGTTGTGGCGATGGCGGTGGTGGTAATGGCGGCTGTGGCGGTGACGACAGTGACGGTGATGGTGGTGGTAGGGGTGATAGTGGTAGAGGTAGTGGTGAGGCAGTTTCAAATACTGTTTTTTTTTTAAAGTATATAAGAGAAATAATTCTTAAAAATACTTTTAAAAAGTCACACTAAATATACCCTTAGAAACTTATTTTTTATATTAATTTTAGGATGTTAATATTAACCGTTAAATTAATTTTAAAGTAAAATTTAAAGCGATTTCAACCGTGAATAACAAAAATTATTTAATTTATTTTTTAAAATTTAAATTATAAATTATTTTATTATATAGATATGAGTGCGTTAATTTCTAACAATCTTATAATTATTTATTTCACCCAAACCTCGTGAAACGTAGGCAATGGAGTGAACAACAAACAATCACAGCTCACGCTCACCCTCGCCCTCACCCTCATATTTATTGTTCTGCTATTATCTCTAATCATAACCAACCCTTGGAGGAGATATTGAGCAATTTTATTTCGACTTACAAATTTCACCTAATTTATTAGTTTAATGACGTAATTTATTGAAACTATTAAATTAATACTAAATTTTAATATTTGATGAGCCCTACAATTAATTTAAAAATTATAATGAATTAGATCAATAAATAAGATCAATAAATTAAATTTCAATAACATTACTCATGTGCTTAATTTGGGATCTAATAAGGGATATAATTTAATGTAATTATTACATTGGGTGTGAGTTCAAATATTAGGTCGAACTCACTTTCAATTCAATTGTTGCATTGAATTGGAATAATGTTATATAGACTTAAAATGCTGACTTGATAAATCACTGTCACTAAATTAAATTAATTCGGTGTTTTAAATTCAAGTAACATTTTTCAATTTAAATTTCAAAAAGACTCCTCGAGAGATTCTTAAATTTCAAGGGAAATGAAAAAACGAAGTATTATTTACTGACATAATTAATATCTGTGGGCTTCAAAATTACTGTAATTGAGACCCATCACCGATGTAATAATTATAATAAATTCGATGAGTTAATTGAGTCAATAAATTTAATTGAAATAATAGTCAACCCAAAGTCTTTGATTCACAGTTCAGTGGTTCACAAAACACTTGTCACGACACAAACATATTCAGATCTGCAATAATATCAGAACACAAACCAGGCAATAATTTCACTAACAAACAGATACAAATTACGACCACCAAAGAAAAAGAAAAGAAGAACAAATCAAGAACACACAAAACCAATCAACGACGAAACAAAGAAATTACAAGCTTATAAATATTTTAATTTTTCTATCCCCTGCAACGGGTGATGGCAGAACAGCCTCTGGTGTAGGGATGAGCAGGTCCACTGGTGCTGTAACAGTTGTGGGTATAGTATGACCTTCCGGAGCGTGGTGGGCATGGAATTCTATTCGCTGAGAGTGCTCCGTAAGAAATGTAGTAGGTCCTCCTTGTGTTCCAGTACAGAGACCTACGATCCACCAACCCACTGTCTATGCCTTCTTCTACGTCGAAGTCGTCGTGGAGAGACATTGTTGAAGGCCACTCAAGACCTTCGGTGGTCATGAGCTGAAGTGAAGAGTCATCCACCTGAGCTCCGGCGAATGGGTTGAAACTGATGAAAACCAGGACAAAAAAGAAGAGGAGAGAGGCTTTTGGATATGAAATCGCCATTGATGTCCCAATGTGGCTCGATCTGAATGTCTAGGAGGGCACGATCGTTTTAGGCTGTGTGCTTGTGTGTGAGAGTGAGAGTGAGAGTGAGAGAGAGAGAAAGAGAGAGAGAGTCACATGGAGAATGAACAATGAAGATAAGAGGCGACAGTAATACAGCTTTGTCAGGGTGCAGCTGCATGATCTCCTGCCCCTTCCCTTTTTTTGATCAGACTGCTCCTTCCTTGATTGACGCTGTTTTTCCCCACGTA